TTGAGTTTACATTTTAAGATATTATTTTTCTATTGTATGATTCATAATTTTTTGTTTCTAATTTGATATGAGATTTCTCTCACACCTCTTCACCTAGAACATCAAAAATAAAAATTAAAAAGGATCAATGGTATAGACTACTTCGTCTTTACAAAATAAATTTAAAAATATCATAAAATTAAAAAGCTTACTTGTCCAATGCCTCAAAGTATTTCTGTTTTCTGATTTCAAAGTATATTTTGATTGAGTAATCGTTGTCCTTGACCTTGGTGAACCCTAAAAGATAGTTCTCAGCCTCATCCCACTTTCCCTTAAGCACCATCTCCTCAAAATACTTCATGTCAAAGAACAACCCACTTTCACAACCAAGCCTGTCAAACACAAAATTAACATCACAAAACAACAATCACACACACATACAACGTTAAAGAGAAACAAAGACACATACGTCAGTGCTGCTTCCTTCAAATTTTGTTCATGAAAATACTTTAAGACCAATACAGCAAGCTCTCTGTTCAGGTCAAAAGACATGTTGCTATAGCTACCTACGTTTCTTTTCCAATATCAAACTGTGTTTCATGTAATGTGTCATAAGGTATTTATAATTTAATAAATGCAATACTTTTAATTTTGTAACAATTTTTTTAATGTTTTATATTAAAAGTATTAAATATTTTTATCAGTGTATATAGAAAGTATTAAATTTTTACCACTATATAGAAAGTATTGAATAGAAGATAAATACAGTTTATATCTTGAAACCATAAAAAACATTTAATACTTATCATTCAAAGTATACTAACTTAGAAAATTTGTAAGAACATATGGTAGAAATATTTGTATAAAGGATGTTATTAGGGAATTTGAAATTATTATTCTTTGTATAAGACTTTTTTAGGTTTATGAAAAAAAAAAGGGCATATAGACATGAGTGATCTTATGGGGGAGACAAGAGAGAGAAATTATAGGGATAAAAACAAAAAATCACAAATCAAATCTTAAATAAAATTTAATGTAGTAAATTATTGATTAACTTGGAAAATTTGATAGTGATTTTACTGAAAGTAATAGATTTTTTTTTATTTTTTTTTATTGAAATGGGATAACACATGAATCGTAATAACATAATACAAATGATCCTTCTCAAATTAACATAATACTTAACCGTGTCATCTTTAACAAAAGAGAGATCAGAAAGGTAGGAGAGTTGATATGATATTAAATATTCTTAAACACTAAATGCTGATAAATGATGATTTAATAATATATATTAAATTTTTCTCTCTCCCATTGAAATTATTTGTATTTCATTAATTGGTAATTAAAATACTTATAGGAACTACAAAAGTTATAAAAAGATCATTTATAGTTTCTTGAATTATTAAAATAATGGATGAACTTCTTCCTAAAGAGACTAATTATACATATCACCCAATTAGTAATTGAGAAATACCACTGAAAATAAACCAAAACAATGTCTTTTAATATATTTGAATATATAGGAAGTGGGAAAGTAAGAAGCATTGATACAAAATTTTCATTAACCCATTATCCATAATCTATTTATCCAAATGTATAAACCATTTTCTTAATCTCCAAACTCAAGGGTGGAAATTTCTTGTGCTTGAAATATGCATAGATATATCTTCTACCATTGGTGACTTTTAAATGGTTCCATTAATATATTTTTCACACACATATATATACTAATAATTATTACTTTTATGGAACTGAACTAATAATTAACAGCTAATATTAATTTCCTTTTTAATTGTCCGACTATTGTTCAAATCTTGTTTCTATTTAACTATAGTTTGTAAAGTTTAAGATTATATTAATTATTGTTTTTCTTATTATATCTTTAGTTTTAAAAAGTAAACAAAATTAACATACCTTTCCTAAAAGGCTCTAACCAAATAAGAGTGTACACCTAATTATATTAATACAATACTCAATTACAAATGGAAATATAAATTATTTTATAAAGAGAAAAATAATGACACTTTATACATTATCATCAATTATTAGAGATAAAAATGTTAAAATAATAAAGATATTATTAACAGATTTATTAACAATGATAAAAGTTAACGCTTCGATTAATTTATATATTCAAACCTTGAATATCATATTATAAAAAAAAAATGCTAATTATAAAGAGACGCATTGGTTAAAACACAAAAAGTTTGAGATCAAGTTTTCTCTTATTGTATGGAAAAGTTTGTGTCGGTGACATAGATCTCTATGTATTTTGTGTGATGCATGTAATAATAAGAATGTCTTAATTTAATATAATTAAAATTAATTAAGTTATATTCTTTTTTATTTTTGTATTATACGATCATATTACAAAAGATGAGTGATTGACATCGTATGCTTAAACTCCAAAATTCAGACAAGACAAAAATGAAGGTCATCCGGTTAGATATGAGTAGAGGGTGAACATGCAGTCTAAAGAGTAAAGTACTTCTTAAGAGACACTAAGAATTAAGATTAAGGATAAACACTAATTAGTATAATGGACTGAGATTGGACATGATTAAGATTCTATTAATTTTATGCTCATCTCAAAAATTATAAATAGAAGTAAAACAAAGTAAGAGGTAGGTGATCGTATTTATTGTGAATTTAAGATTTTGTTCTGATCTTGTTTGGATTAATTATTGATTTAAGCATTGAAATAACTTTGACAACATTCCCAATCGATAATAAAGTGTAAAAATGTATTTTGTCCGAAACAAATTTTATTATCCCAAATAATTAATTTGCATAATTTAATTAAAAAAATATATTATTACGTGTTAATTCCTAAAAAGTATCACGACTGTACCGTACAAAGTTATAAAGAAGTTTGAGTAAATTATTTAACATAAGAAGTATAAACTGAATATTACACACAAAATATAAAATTGTTGTGCAACTCATTAATTATATATGTATACGAAATTCAAAAACATGTATGCATGACATGTGCCAATAACTTTTCGAAGATTTGGAGGACACGTGTCAACCGTATATTATATAGGAGTTAGAGACGAAAGTCTCCTTGAGGTTCTTATTATATAGAAGTTAGAGACGAAATCGTTCTTTTACTTATATTTACTTGATGTGATGATATTAATAGAGTTAAAAGAAGAAGAATGTTTGAACTTTGCAAAACCTAGTGTTATATATTTTGTTTTTATTAAGGGTGTTACAACTTGAATCTAATAAAAGTTAGTTTAAATATTATGTAAAAGAAAATAAAAAATAATATTTGTTTTTATTATAATTGGACTTAATAGTTGGTTAACTAGCAATTTTAAAAAATGATTTTTAAAATAATTTATAAAAGTAAAAATTATGAAAATATTTGTAAAAGTATATATACTTTTTAGTAATACTAGTTTGGTCTAAAACTACTGAACATATTTACTTCTTTTTCCTGGATCCTACTAAATGAAATATTATTATTATTTCACTTCAAATCCACTTTAAATTTATAGATAAAAAGATAAAATGTATAGATAAAACTAAAGTAATTGAAAGCATGATAGTTAAATTTATGGAGTTAAATGTTTAGTAATAATATATGTGAAATTAAAAATTTAGTGGCAAAATTCATGAAATTAAAATTTTAATAATAAAATTTGAATATTTGAAAAAAAAATTAATAGTGGAATGTCTAATTCAAAACACGATGTACATTCCATCTTGATATGCATACACAGATATCAATCTTAAAAATTGTTTTACTGCATAGTTATAACATAATATAGTATATTATATTTAATAAAATTAAAAAATATATTTTAATTTTTAATTATTTAATTTTTGTAATTTATTTATAAATTAAAAAAAGTTAAAAATATAAATATGATAACAAGTTTCTTATAAAACGTTTAACCTATATAATAACAAAAATTGTAAAAATTGATCTAAAATAAGTTTATTTTATTCAGGTTTTATATTAAGTTAAAAATTATGTAAATTGAAATATATTTGAATTTATGTTTGATTCATATAACATTTTTTATTAAAAAAGATCCAACTAGGAATACTCATAACTTTAACACTTTTTTAAATGATAAAAAAAAAATCACTTTAGATATAGTTTATAAGTTTTTTTCTGTCAACATCTTAAAAAGTTAAATGATTCCGTTAGTCATTTGTCTTGAAAAAAATAGATAACAAGAATGATTATATTCATATATTTTTTAAATATAAATATATTTAAAGTGTGAGGAGCTAACAAGATCAAATATTAAAACAAGAATAAAAACCAAATCCACCTTATAGTTTAAAAACAAAAGCATACGTAATCTTAAATATTAAAAAATTGATATGTACGAAAAAAAGGGTTCAAAAACAAGAGTTGCGTAACAATAGTTGCAATTTTCAAATTCTCACTGAAACAAAACATAAATGAGTAATTAAGTTTTCTGTTCTTAAATTTTTGCTTCACTTCTATAATATAAAATATTCGTCTATTTTTCTTTTCTTTTCAACGTTTAAAACTCGTAATAAGTGTAAAAGAAAATGATGAATAAAATAAGTCAGCATTTTTCATAATTAAAAATAAAATAAGAATAAATTTACGTCTTGCCCGGAAGTGATTGGGCGTAGTAATACAATGGTTTGTATGCGTCCATCTTATAACGTGTGTATTCTAGAGCGGCGTTAGAGAAAGTAGGCAGTTCAGAGATCATAAATATTGAATTGTTCTCTGAAATACATGCTTCAATCTACTTTTGCAGTCTGATAATAACTCTTGTTTGTTTTACAATGCTTGTCATCCATGTAAATCGCTTAAGTGTATAAATGAATGCAACATACAGTTTTTTTTGTCTATTAATCATTCAAACTCAAACTGTCATAAGGAAAAAAAAAATTACTTACGACGGCACATGGAAAGTTATTCCACTCTTTCACTCAATCTTGAAGGTTAAAGGAGAGGGGCTTGGATTTCATCGTAGAAATTTGATTTAATTTAATATAAGAAAGGATTAGGGAAAAGCGGCAATACAAAATCTTTCCATTGTATTTATCTTGTCTATAAAACAAATACAATCTGAATGTGGCTTGTACAAAAACAAAATCATTGAAGATTGAAGTACCAAAAACAGACGTGGTCGCTATCTGTACATAGTACATAAGTTGCAAACTAAGGGAATATTTTTTATCACACCCCGAAAGACAAGTTAACTTTGGCTTTGGTCACCGATATCTAAATAAGACATCTTCAGAACCTTCTTCATTTCCTTAGTTTGCAGGAGCAATACCTGCCTCCATCACAAGCTGCTCAGACAAAGCTGAGAGTCGAGCCACTCCTGCTTTCACCTCAGAGAAACAGTCAGATTTACTGGTATCTGGGATCGAATTGGAGGCTTTGTCATCAATTGGCACAAGACTGATACAGTTATCAGCTTCAACACTCAGGATTGCCTTATTCACAAGTTCACTACTCATTTCGGCAAGCTTTTCCAGTGCATTGGTGGCAGCTTCAACTTCAAGCTGAGCTGCCTCAAGCTGAAGTTTCTCAATTGCCAAATCTCCTAAGCTTACCTCACCAATTTTCTCCTGTGCCAAAGCATACAGCCTTTTCAGATCATTGGAATCTTCTGTCACCTCTTCCCTTACTTTTTTCAACTCTTCCTCTTTTGCATCCAATCTTGAAAGAGTCATTTTCAGCTCCCCATCTTTTATTGTTAGAGCTCTCTGTGCAGCAAGAACCTCCATCTCCTTTTTTTTTAAGTTTTCCTTGGCCAACTCAAGCTCTTTCTCAAGTCTTTTTTGTTGCCATCTCATTTCAATAGCAGGTTCCTCCGATAGTCTCTCAAGTAGTTGATTACCCATTCCATCTAGCAGTGGGCTCGATGAGTTCGTGTCTTCATCCTTAATCGAAGTAACCAGTTTGTTTGTAAGATCTAAAATTCTTTCAACCACTGTTTCAGCTTCGAAAGCCTTCTGATTTGTATCATTCAACTCGCTCTGGATTTTCTTCACATGCTCATCTTTCTCCCTTAGCATATTGGTTGCTTCAATAAGCTGGGTTTCTTTGTTGTTCATAAGCATCTTAAGATCAGATATTTCCTGGTTAGCTTCCACCATCATGTTTCTAGCATTGGAAAGCTCCACGTCTTTCTCCTCCAAAATACCCTGAAGGGAAGCTTTCTCAGATTTCAAACGCTGGATTTCTAGTTTAGCATCAACGAGCTCTGATTCTTTGACCTGAAGAACGGCACTTGTTTCTCTAAATTCAGCACTTTTTTTCCCCAGTTCCTGTTGGAGCAAATCCATTTCCGTGACTGCCTGTGCTAAAGAAGTTCTCTCTTTCTTCAACTCCTCCTCTAACCCATTAATAAGCTCCTTTTCCATCTTCAGATCTCGTTCAAGCTCTTTGTTCCTAGCCTCAGCAACCCTGAGTTTTGTTCTTTCACTCTCCACTTCTGTCTGTGCATTCTTTAGATTTTCCATGTATGACATAACACTTGCCCTCTGCTCGGAAAGCTCAAACAGCTGCTGTTCCAACAACCGCTCTTGCTCTTCCATTTTGCTTCTAGAAGATGCCAACGCTTGCTGAGAAGAAACCAATTCAGACCTCACATCATTCAGAAGCTTCTTCACCCTTCTGAAATCATCCAAAGTTTGATTACTCTCCTCAGCGTGCCTGGCAGCATCCTCTCCCAGCCTCTTAAGCTCCTCCTGCGCCAACAACCAATCCATTGCCTGCTTCTCTAAATTGGCCTCAGCAACCTTCAGTTTCTCCCTCTCAACCTCCCTCTGCTCCAGAATGACCTCAATCTCCTCCTCCTTCTCTCCAACCCCTTTCTTCAACTCCTCAAGCTCAGCCCTCTGTTTATTCATAATTTCATTAGCTTCATCCAAAAGCTTCCCTTTCTCTCTAAGCTCAGAGCCAAGAACTGCTGCCTCCTGACTCTTCACCTCCAGTTCAACCCTCATTTTCTCCACTTCCTCCTCTTTCAACCTCAAACTATACTGAACCGCGTCAATCTCGTGATCCCGATCTCTAACCTTAAGCTTCAGCTCCTCAACCTGGCTCGCCTGAGCAACCAATTTATCAGTAGTGTCTTTCATCTCCTCCAGGAGCTTCTCATACCTAACCTTAGCAGCCTCAATCTCACTCTCTTGCCGCTCCAACTCCTCCTTCGTGTGCTTCAACTTACTATTCTCCAACAACACCGTCCGCTCCGCTTCCATCAAGTGATCCTCCTTCTTCTTCAGCGCCGCCAGCGCCGCCTCGAGATCCGACTCCAGAATCCGAAGATCCGGCTCCTCTCCGCTAAACCGGCTCTGCGTCGGGTCGAACAACCTCTCGAACAAAACCCTAGCAGACTCCGCCGCTCCATAATCGTTCACGCTAGGCCTATTATCGTTCAACACCGACCTAACGCGAACACCAACACTGTTCCGTAAACGACGACATCTTCTCCCGCCGTCCGACTCGAAACCTAATCGATTACCACGACGCCTACTATTGAACCTAACAGAGCAAAACAGCTACACAACAAAACCGTTCAACGTCACATTCAAGTCCGATTTTCCAAAACAAACTCGTTTAACAGATCTCAATAAATCGAACCACAACGAAATTACTAAAACCGTTAATTAGAAGAAACCAAAAAATTCTGATTCTGAAACACTTTATTTAGGTGAAATCAAAAGAATCGACAAAAAGAAGGAAGCTAATTGAGGAGAAGAACCTGTGAGTGAGATGGAGAAGTGGTAGGGCGAAGTGAAACGGAGAAAGCCATGGACGAAGCGATGAGCGGCGCATTGCAGTTAGTCGCCGATGGAAGAAGGTTTGGCGATCAAGAATCGCGCGGAACCGCTGGTAGAAGTTGCGGGGACTAGCATGACCTCGCAGTTTTACAGCAATGAATGAACTGAGAGAGAAAGCGATGGGTTATATATGTACAGAGGAAAATGATTGGTTGGAATGCAAAAGCATTAATGTGAGGAGCAAATAGAAGAAGAGAGAAGAAATGTTTGTTGAGATGGTAAGTGCCAAAGTTAAGCAGAGCAGGAACAGGAGCAGCTGCAGGCACAGCGTTTTGCGCACACTAAAGAGAGAAACGAGATGCTTCACGTGTCCCTAGCGGACAAGGAAAAGGATTCCTCTCAGCCTTTTATTTGAACCACTAATAAACTACCTTCTAAACCATGAAAACAAAAATAAATAATATTATAATACACGCTGTCCTAAATCTTACCTTGGATTAGATAACAATTATTTAAGTAATTCATCGTTTATAGGAGAAAAAGTTAGATGTTAAATTTTACTGTTCTTGTATTTATTTATTTTTAAAAATTAGAAACCTGTATCAAATTTAAAATAATAATAAATTTTAATTTTATGTCCAAATTTAAAAACTACAAATATATATAATTCTTTCTATGTAACAACACTTCGTTGTATTTTATTTTTTGAGTTTATTTTTTGCTGACATGTAAAATCAGAAAACCAATCTAAAAGGATAAATACTAATAATATGTTAAAAGTGTGGGTGTAATGCTTTCTCTAGAAAAAGGGATGCGAGAGAGATAGATGAGAACAAATTGAAAGACTTCGTTTGGATATTGAAAATTGGATGAAGTTGTGAGTGTAACAAGTGGACATGTTTCTACCATTTCATTAAATTTCGCAACTATTTCGGCTTCATTATGTGTGTGGATATAATAATAATAATAATAATAATATATTAGTATTATTATTAATATGGTTAAGAATAACTATCAATGAAGTCGAAAAAGAAAAAGAGGCATGGACGTGGTCCTACCACCCTTGAGGTCCATGGCCATGTAGAATTGTGTGGATGGGCTTTTACGTGAAGACTTTTCTTGTTAAATTTTCGAAAAATTATTTTTATGTTAAAATTTTATAGAAAAAGCTTTATATCTGGATGGCAGAATATAATTAAAAAATAAAGAATTTAGTAAAAATATTAATTGTATTGTTAAAAAATTAATTGTTAAGTAAATTAGTAAACATTTCATATTAAGAACATAACCGTAAAAAATATAGTCTTTTGTGTGTTTTTGTAATTTTTGTAGTATCCAAAAATTCTTATCTTTTGCAATAATGAGTATTATATGATGTGTTGTGATTGATTCGTCAATCTTGTAAAATTTACAAGTAGATGATCGTTGTCACACTTGCTAAAGTAGTGATGATTGTAGGTGATTATTCAAGTGTGATTATTGCTTAAAAAAACTGTTCGCACCATTAATCATTATTCTGATTATATGGTCAACCACTAAAATGATTAGTTTAATGAAATATATTTTTATTCATTTTCCTCTGTAATATCATCAATTTAATTCGAATGTTTAGGATTCTCAATCCTTTGGTTCTACCACTTTTATTGCATCCATACAGATAATTATTTTTAGGAATTTTAAAATGAGCTAACTCTACTACTTATTAGCTTATTATAAATTGAGTTAAAAATAAGTTAATTTAATTTATAGGTTAATTGAGTTAAAAGTTAATTCAAAATCTTGACTCACAAGTGAAAATTCATTTTGATATTTTAAATTATTTTGTTGACGTTTTATTTTTAATTTTTTTGTTGACATTTTCTACTCTTTCGAACTTACGATATAGATTTTTGGATTAGTGATTATTTAATTGTTAGTAAATTATTTTTGCCTATCTATTTCTAGTTATTTACTTTTTGTTATCATGGTGTGAATATATAATTTTATTTAATTTTTTATAATTATTTATTATTTTTCAACTTTTTTAATACTAATTTACTTTTGGTACTATAAAAGAATTATTGCATTAGCTATATAATCCACACTTTTTTCTTTTCTTCTCAAAAAGACTATTTACTTTTTTAAAATAAAATAAAATAATTTTTAGATTGGGACTATGTTGATCCACTAATTAGTTTTTTCACTTTTTAAAATTGGTTATTTGGTTTCCTTAAGTATCTTTTTTCAAACATCACAAAGAGGAGAAAATATATATTTTTTATTTACTTGCTTTTATTATTAGGTAGTTTGTTCTTAAAATGAGTTCAATTGATTATGGTTAAAGAAGAATAAGATATTGACAACCACACCAACCTACCTAATGTATTCATGTGAACTCCATAAAAAGTTTCACAACTAAAATATCACAAACTTTTCTATTTGTTTTTTAGTTTCGAAAGTAATTATAATGTAAACTTTGTAATTATACTTATGACTTTAGTCATATTTTTTGTTGAAAGGCATACATATTACATTTTTTAATATCACGTTAATGAGAAGCAATTTGAATTTTTTTGTTATCCCTTATACTATCTATTTTATTTATCTACTTATATTAACATGTAAATCAAATATATAAAATATCTAGTATTTCATGTTACAATTTTAATAATTTCATTTATTAAGTTAATAAAGACGAAGATGATTTGAAAACTTTCATTGAATTAAGGAGGTAAGTTAACTAGTGAAGTGACAAGTTAAATTCAGAAAGTGATTAAATAAAGTAATAAATCATCTAATGTTTGGTCGATTGGGTATAAAAAGAACACAACAAATTTTTTCTTATTTATCCTAAACTCTAACTAATGGTCCTTTAATATACACTTAAAGAGTTCCGGTAGTTATTATAATAATTTCAAGACGAGTGCATTAAGTGACTCCTAAAATTTATAAGTACAAAAAATTATCTGAAGATAGACTATACAAGTAAGAATACATAGATATTCTCTATAATGATAGAGTATACAAGTAAGAATACAAAGATATTCTCTCTCAATGTACTCTCCTTACTCACTCAATATCACTTATAGTAACAAGATGTGAACACCTCACAATCTTACCAAAACATAGAGCAATCCCAACTCCCTAAACACATTGAGAGCAATCCCAACTCTCAATGAAGAACACCACAATTCTCTCCTCCTAGATAACCTGCACAGGAACACAATCCACTTGATTGTAAATGTAGAAACTGATCTTCAAGGAATACACTAGTAGTGCAGATATGATCAAAACTCTTTCAACTCAGCTTTCTTGTAAGAATCTTGATGATTTAACCCAAATATGATATTGATTCTCCAAGATTGTTCTTAGACGTTCCTTCAACCAATACCTAATCAACAAGTTAGTTATGAAATTGAAAGTTCATAGAATTGTTATTGAAACAACGTGCAAGACAATTATTTATAGGATTTTGAAATCCTGATGCACTTTAATCAATTACGCAATTAATGTAATCTGTTAAGCTTTTCCTTCTACTTTAACAATTTTACATCTATTTCAGATTTAACAAATTAAATAACGCATGCAATCTATTAAAAATTTTATACAAGCCAACAATCAATTAATATGACCGTTATAGGCAATTTAAGACTTTAAATGAAAATGATTTTCACAAGATAAACAATTTAACCGATTATGAAACTTATGAAATCGATTATGTTCAACACTTAAGCAAGTTTCCAAATCAATTTCCATTTCTAACGTATCAATGCACTCAACAAACACATGTTGGCATAACAACATGTTTTAATTGATTATACAACTAATGTAATCGATTACTACACAACTATTTGCCCATGTTAAACATATATTGATATTTAGAGAAATTTAATGGATTATATATAATGTTTAATCGATTATTTCTACCAAAAATATAATGTGCAATATGTTTAAACTTATGATTCATTTATACACAATAAATACATGTATCAAGCATTTCAAGCATAGACATAATAATGATAAAGCAATTGTTATGTCGTTTGTCGTGCAAGAAATCAAAAAATATTTCTTTTGTTCATCATCGAAAACATATATATATATATATTATATATATATATATATATATATATATATATATATATATGGGTAAAGCTCCCCCTATCAACAATATGTATGAAACTTTCTTTGAATATCCTTATGTCTCTAAACATTATTCTGATTCTGAGTAGGCTTTTGAATAAAGCTGACAATCTGCACAGAAAAATAGAACACAAAACAATAGACAAAAAGTACTTAAACGTACATTCATTCAAACCATTAAACGACCTATGCATTTGATGTGTTGGATGATTTAAGCGCTTAGGCGTGATGCTTGATATAATCATTTGATGCTATCTACTGAGTTGCTTGTAAAGATGTTTAGTTGTATATTGTGTAGCGAAACTTGATTTAGAACTTTATTTTTTTTGTCCAGACACTATGTTGATTAGATGCTCTATAGCGTTTAACGCTTTTTAAGTTTATGCATCAGATGCAATTGTGATATCAAACATTCATATATCAGTTCATATCGTTTAGCACGTTATATTGATATCTAAGATTATTCGTTTCATTTAGACTCTTATTGGCTAAAAACCGTTTGGATATTAAATCATGAGCTTTAGCGTTTTCTTAAATGTTTCCATTATATCATACATTGTTTGTCAATCATGTCTGTTAGACAGTATTTAGTACAAAGTGCTATATTTAAAAAAACATTGTAAATGATTATTTCATTCAACACTTTGGATAGATAATTGTATTGACAAACACTTTTTTCAGTGTTATGCTTTAACAAATACAATCGATTAAGTGCTTCTTTGAAAAAAAATATTTTGTTAAATATTATAAGTTAAACTTCAAAACACGAGTTTCTAGACAGTCTAGTCTTCTAGACGATCTTGTTTTACCATTTAAATCATCCATTTTTATATGTTTGAATATCAAAGTGATCATAAGAATCACATTGTAAAGTATATCATTTTAGTCAATCAGAATCTCCATTAGAGTAAGTTTATATTTTGTTCATTTGTTAAGTCATTTTGAGTTTTTGCATGCATGTGTGGTGCCTTTTGTGAATACAAGGAACTCAAAAGAGTTTAAGATGAACATTTGTTTGTTTATGATCACTATGATATGTTCAAATAGTTAATCTAAATTTTTTAATATAGGTAGAGTATGTGAGATAAAGTTGGTGGAACTTAGTTGAGACATAACTAAAGTCCAAGAGAAGCTAGTGATTTGGTTGTTTATTTGTAATGTTTAGTTAGTATTGTTAGATATATTATCTTTATTTTAATATTTATCTTTTATCTTTAGTTAGTTTGTTATTATTTCTTATTTGTATTTTGGGCTTGGCCCATATTTGTTCTATTATAAATAGAGGACTCTATATATATATTCAACACAAGGGAAATTAATCTCATATGTAGTTTTTCACTATATTCAACATGGTATCAGAGCCTAGTTCTTTTGAGGAAAAAGTTTCTGGTGCCTCTGTTACTATATCCGTGGCTATCGGTGATAACGCCATCTACTGCCGGTGCCAGCGCCTTCGTCTATCGTTGCCACTATCAGAGTTCAAGTTTCGACTAACGATCACATGGTTTTGATAATCTCAGCAGGCGACCACCATGTCATTAACGACGCCTTCATCGGAGCTCCTACGTGCTCTTAGAGCCTTTTAAAATTGTGGATCTACTCCCTTTTTCCATCGTGCATGGTGGCATGTCTAGTAGCAATTTAGAGAGTCAAGGTCGCTCGTTTTCCTCTTTCAAGTTCAACATCGCACATTCCGCCAGGCAGCTATTCAGAGCATCGAGGCTGCTCTTTTCCTTTTTAAGGTGCCTTGATTGGAGAATTTTGGATTTTTTTATGGTTTCTCTCTCTTGTTCATCCATGGCTTCTTTCGCTGGTGTCTCTTCTGACCTCTTTTTTTGTCACCATTGCGTTGACCCGTCCATATATATGTTTTGTTTTTCATGGAAAAGATGGTTCTTGTTAGTTTATTTATTGCCGTGGTGGCTCTCCAACAATTACCTCTTTATCCAGTAGTGGCATTCCTCAATGGCGATTTGCAAGAAGAGATTTACATGGAGCAACCTCCCAGATTTGTACTCAGGAGAGTTTCTGGGTTTAGTATTTCCTCTTTATGCCGTTGCAAATCATTAGCAATTTGGTGTCACTCGAATGCAGAAACAAATATTCACCTAGTTTTATGTATTATATTAGTAACAAGCTTGATACATATGATTTGTATTGCACTAGCTTGACGGGGAGTGTTAAATAATACCTTTTATTTATATTTATCTTTTATCTTTAGTTAGTTTGTTATTATTACTTATTTGTATTTTGGGCTTGACCCATTTTCTTCTATTATAAATAAAGATCCTATATGCATATTCAGAGCCAGGTTCGGTCTGGTGACCAGACTCAGACGAGTATGTCCCTCCATGGTAAGGTAAAGCCTCGGCAGGTGGCCGATGGCAGATAGTCAGATGTATCATGAGAGGGGGAGAGCAAGAGATGCTCAGTGAGGGGTCATGGATTTTGAAAAAGAGCAAAGTGAAGTGTTGACCATGGTGTACTCGAGGATAAGAAAAGACTTTCATGATAGAAGAGATGGAGAATCATAGTCCTTCCTTTAAAGGGAAGATTGTTAAGTACAAACAAACATATTTGTGATGATACTACTTTAGTAAAGTAGAATGTTTTGTGAATATGATGTTGAGAAATTGTATTCAATTCTGATTAATGAGATATCAAAAATGTTTTGAGTATAAATCATTAAAATATATTAATTGAGTCAATAAATTTTATTTGAGATCAATTTTGAATTTAATATAACCATTTTGACATTAGAAATTAGTAAAAACATCCAAGGTCATATATAATATAACATAGAAATCAAGTTAAATTGAGGTGTAGCTTTCCTCGCATGTTATATTTTTTTTAGCACATCATATCATTATTAAAAAAATTTAAATATCATTAATTTTATATAACTATTTCGTCCTTACCATAAAAAATGTTCATATATTTTCGAAAGTACTCTATTATTTAAAGAAAGAAAAACAAAAATACGATAACATGCCACATCACAATTTAATTTAATATATCAATTCATATATTACAAAATTAACTTAAAAATTTATTGAAATATTATATAATTAAAACCTTTTGTAAATTTTAATAATTTTATATTATTATATTATTTATTTTTCAGTTACGAACAGTTTATTTTTAATTTTAAATGGTCTGTTATTATTTTGTTTCAATGAAATAAATTTAACAAATAACATTAAACAAAAATTAAATACATTTACTGAATTTTAAAATAATATTAATTACTTTAGAAAAAAATTTATTGTTTACATCCGTTGGTTATTACAAACAAGATATTATAATAAATTTAATTTTTTAAACGTATATATGTTATTTCATAGTTTACGTAATTAAATTAATAAATATATTTAATTATAAATACACTGAAATCATTAATTTAAATCAGTATTTACATTTTTAACTTTTATTATCAAATAACATAATAATTTTTTTAAAATTACATTTAAAAATTATTTAAATTAATAAATAAATTTTAGATATTATTGTAAAACATTAATTATTTTTACTATTTTATTTTTAAATTTTAAAAGTTTTCATAATTTCATTTATTATAGAACAATTAAAAAAATTCAATTAAATTAAGAAATAAGAAAATATAATACAAGTTTTTTCTACCAAGTAATATAGAGACACAGTTATGAGATTGAAAACTTTAAAATTGAAACTGCAAAAATAATTCTAGAGGACTTGATTGATCATCTCACAATCTTTTATTTATAAGAATAAATTGATACACAAATACATGATAAATAGAGTAACCCTAAACACAATATAATCATGATAAATAAGGTAATCCTAGACATAATATAATCATGATGAATAGGGTACCCTTCACACACTATAATGATGATAAAATAGGATAAATATCATAACAGAAAAAATTCTCATTCATTATGTGAGTTAAGTATTATTTTGATAAGTTTTGTTGAATTTCAAAATTATGAACTGTAAATTTAGGAATATGGAAAGTTCCGACATCTAGGAATAAATATTGGTGATTTTTTTTTTCTCATTATATTACTTACTTATTGTAAAGTATTATTTTACAATAGGATTACATTTATAGGTTATCCAACAAAAATATATATAATATATATATATATAATATATATATATATATATATATATATATATATATATCTATTATATATATATATATATATATATGACAGGTGAAATAAAAAAATATGAATTTCTTTGTTGTTTGATGTGATATTTCCCTTTTCATTATGTTTTCTCAATTTTACATAAAGACACTAATTTAAGTTTCTATAAAATAGTATTGAAAATTAATGCATGCTTTTTTTTTTTCATTTGGGTTTCATGAACATTTAAGTATGTATTTCGCACAAAATTTTCAATTATGTTTTTTCCATTATTAGTCAGTATTCTCTTCTATTAGTAAGTGGCAACAAAAAAAATTAATGGTTTTGATACAGTGGAACTTTTATGGAATAAATAAACACTACCGTTCTTAAACACAATTATATAAAATGATGTAGGTAAAAAATTGTGAATGAGTGAATATTTTATTTATATTTTTAGTGCAAATAACTCATTTTCACATAATGTGAAAATATATCACATTTAGTTTTGAAAAAAAATTCTAAATTTAGAACCTGTCAAAAATCACATAATTATCTTCCGTGGTTAAAGTTAATAAATTATTTTGTTATTAAAATAGAATTTTAGGGATGCATTTGACAATAAATTAGAAAATTATTTCATTATAAAGCTATAATATTTTGAAATAAATTATTATATATTTTGTACATATTAATAGTATTTTTCATTTTTTCATTTTTATAAGACTAAAGTAACTATGTATCGCGATGAAGGTTGAAATTCTCCATTTTCTTTTAGAAAATTTTAAACAAAAATGATTTAGAGATAGAAAAAACAATATTTTAGTGTCCTTTGTTAAATTCGGGCTTTCGAAGAAAGCCCAGCCCAGAGAAGAAGATAGAGTTTGGGATTTATAACAATCGTGTCCCTCCTAGTTCTTTCTCTACCGCATCCTCTTCGTTCGTCTTCTTCTCTGGTGTGTCCTCTCTTATGTGTTCTGTCTTTCTGATTCTTTGAAAATTCATGTAATCCTTGTTGTTACTATCTTTCTAAGGTTCAAACAAGATGCAGAACGAGGAAGGACAGATCACCGAGCTTTACATTCCTAGAAGTGGTATGTGTCATTTTTCTATTCTTTCCATTAATTGTTTTTGGGATTTCCTTTTAAAAGTGATTTATCTGTTGTTTGTTGAATTGGGAACTTATATCGATTTTTGTGAATATGGTGCAGTTCTGCCTACAAACAGGTTGATTACTGCGAAGAACCATGCTTCGGTTCAGATTAAATTGGTCTTGTGGATGAGAATGGTATTCTAATGGTCAATTCTCCACCTTTGCCCTTTGCGGCTTCATCCGTGCCTCAGGTCTCCATTTCATATCTTTGGAATTAATTTATTATTATTATTTATTATTATTATATTCTATTTATTAATATTATATGTGAACTGTGACTTACTTATTTTTAGGTTATGCCAGTGGGTAGAAGTGTTTTGTATTTTTTGCTATGTACTTTTTTTTTTTGGTTTTATTGCATTAGTTCTGTGATACTGGATGTGTATTGTAAATTAGGGTTTTTTGCGAAATTATTGGGGTTGATTTATGTGCCTAATAATGAATCTCTTTAGTAGAGAAATAAAGTTTTATATGCTTCGAATTGAATGTATAACAATGGTTTCCTTTTTTATTTAGAAAAATTACTTGCTTAAATTCAGCGTTAAGAATTGGTTTGTTGTTCACAATTTGCTGGGTCGATAGGTGCTGTTTCAGCGGTTGATATCAATTTATTTGAAGGCATTGGATGTTCTGTAAATAGTATTTAATGTAGCTTCAAGCTGAGTTATTAACTATTTTCTTCTTTTATTTCCCCTTCATTTTTCTCTATTAGAATATTGGTTTTTCTTTCTTTCTCTGTAAATATCATACATTGGCGTTGTTAATTCTTGAAAATATAAAACAATTAGAATTTGTTTCCCGTATACATGCATCTGTGTGGTCAGCCGTAAAAATCCTGACAAACAGATCATAGTATATATTTTTCTCGTTCATGTTGGTCTAAAGATAATGAAATTAACTGCAGTGCAATATGATGAATTGTGATTTTGATTTATCAATGTGGAGCTTTGCTTTTCATTTTATGATACGTGGAATATTGTGTTTGTCTATTTTGGTGTTTAGGTCCCAGTTTTTTTGTATTGAAACTCTTTTTTGTTTCATTTATGATATTTTACCTATGTACTAAGAAGCATTTCTTGCTCTTAATATCCAGGGTGATGCCGACAGTGCCCTAGATCGCTTGTGGCAGAAGAAGAAAGCTGAAGTTAAGCAACAGTGACGCCCATGTTACTTTGTTATGTATTAATTTTTACTTTTGCTAGTAATATTGAGGATTATGTATCTGAATTTTCTTTGGTACTTGGTACCCTCTTTTGGTACTAGGTACCCCCAACTAAGGTTGGTAATATTCGGTTGTCTTATATTTCAATCTTAAATTATATCTCGCTGTATTTTACCACAAATCCTTTACTGAAGGATAATCCTTCTCTTTCTGTTTAAAAGTAGTGTGGTAATTTGTGTGATGTTTGGGGCCAAGTCAATTTTTGAATGTTTATTTGTTGAAGGCTTTTAAAATGTTTGCCTTTTAAGTTTTCTTCTTCTTGATGGAGGCTTTTGATAATTAAATTACGCTTTTAAACTAATTTAAATTAATTTTACATTTATTTTACTAAGCGTCACTGAAATAAAATAATCTACCATTGCATATTATTTTGACCTTTTAATATAAAATTATTTAATTTTTTTTCAAAATCAATAAAATTATAATAACTAAATAATAATTAAGTTACCAATAAAAGACATTATAACATTATTT